CACTTATAATAATTGATCGATAGGTGTTTTTAAAATTATGATTAGCGGACAGATAAGTAATATTTTTTTTATTTTCTTGCTACATAATGTGTAATTTTTTGCTTGCTTATATCAAGACACTTTTAACATAATTTTTTTATTTGAATATAAACGCTCTTTTTTTTTTTGGCATCATTGACACAAATCGAAGTGATGAAAATGCGCGTAAAAACGCAAGATTATTGAGATAATAAATTGTTAAATTAATTACATGTCGATACAAGACTTTTCCATGAGTTAAAATTGTATTCRGCTAAAAGAGAATGTTAGRCACAAATTTACAAAAAAATGGTGTTATTTAATCATGAATAATAAAAAATATTGTAAAATTGACGTTTTTGTTTATTTTTGAAATACTTTTTTCTCGTCTTATTTTGTATTAAATTCTATCCCGTAAGTCGTAAGATACGTTAAATTATACTATTTTGATAACGTAAACTGAATAGAAAAACAGCTTAATTTTATTTGAATCGAAATAATTTCGCACTTTCTACAAGAACTTTTTGACCGGCGTAAACTAGTTCCATATGATTTTGACACAACCCGCAATATAGGAGTATTACATACAGGATGTTCGTTTTTCGAGCTCCACCATGTGGATCTGAGTTATTATAAGAGATACGAGGTCGGTTAAATTAGGGCAAAGTTGTGCATTTTTATGCTGAACAATAATCTGAAAGAAAATTTATCCGTTGATTTATACGGAGATTGTAAAAGTCGACACAAACACTGAAATTCGAATTATTTTATTGTAAAAATAAAGAATAATGGATTCAATTTAACATAAATGTGATTATTAAGTGATATTTCTACCATTTCTTGTGCAACTGGGCAATTTTTTAAGTTATTGAACTTTTAACARACATCTTCATTTTTTTATATTTGAAAATGCATCACATTAAATAAGTGTTACATTCTTATAACTTGCACCTTCTTCTTTGCGATAGTAAAAAGAAATATTTCTAGATATTTTAGTTTTTGTGTAATAAATTTTTAAAAGTGCATGTTTCGTCAAGAAAACAGTCTTATTTTTAAAATTAAGCATAATCGACCAATGAAAGTTTATCTTAAAAACGTCATAAAAATCCATATCCAAAAATGCTAAGAAACATATAGTGTTTCATTTAAAAAAACACAATTTTGTATTGTAACTTATTTTTGAGACACGCTGTATAGTTGAAAATAATTTTAAGCGATGGACTAGAATAGTATCTATATATATTTTTAAAATTTTACCATTTAAAGGTCACTAATGGACTTTACCAGCTCGCTGGGACACTCGGTATAACAAAAAGGAAGTAAATATTATAATTTTGTACAATATGTGGACTATATGGCATTCAAAACTTTTTTTTTCTTTTCTTTTTTTCCTTGCTTTTAGGGAAGATATTGTTACTACAAGATTTTTGCTATCCATCAGCAATCTCTTTTTCATTGCAATTAATGCCAGGTAAATTTACTTACCTTTTGATTTTTGAGTAAAATAACCACACTCAATAGTATTTTTACGATACGATCTTACCTGGTAAAGACATTTATTAGGAACGAAGAAAAAATCAAATGGAACTTTGCGGCTTTTCATATATGTTTTTTAGAGACTAAACCATAAGAATTTAGGTATTAGGAACTAGGCAAAAACTCTTAAAATGTTTACATTAATTCCAAGATTAATTCAATAATGTCATTAGATACTATGTATAAACGTATACGCTAAGCCGTGTTTTGTAAACATATAAACAAAAACTCTTTCCTACTTATTTGATTGTGCTTCTAAGAAAGAATCTTTTTAATGATTTGCTATGAAGTAGTAAACTATTGTTTACTTATTTTTTTCAAATATTTACTAGAAAAAATTGTCCGATTTTTGTTTTGGCCACATGCGTAATGCGGCCCTGTTAGAAGAGTTCCTAACCCTTTCACATTACCCACCTTCATTATGGATTTTATAAAGAAATAACCATTTTACGATTTTGATTTGAGATTATGCCATTTAGCGGTGAGATTTAAGAGTGGAAAATAATTTCCATCAATTACTTGAAGTCACGTTTGTTATCATTATTTTTTCCGAAATCTATAGGACTAGAGTTCCTATATTTTATATATTTTTATATTTTATATTTCCTATATAACTAAAACGATCTTCTTGTGACACAATTCTTCCACAATTTTGTGCACACTGGGTCTACATTTATTTATAATACTTTTAACAAACACCACATTATTTTTTTTACTTCTCATTTATCTTAGCCTACAAAATTAGCTGTTTGTACCTACAAACTTACATTACCTGATGGTTAATGCACAAAGCGTACAGCGTTTTACAACAAATGCCATGAATTTTATTCAATTTGTCAGATTCTTGTCGCATTCCTACAAGTACTAACAATTAATTCCTGACTATGACCGTGATCAGTAGCGTCGAATGTGTATGGATAGTGGTTAATTTATCCCCAATATTTTTGACCTAACAAAAAGAGATTTTCCGGTCATGTTGAACCTTTCTAATGACCCAGAATTGTTTGGCAGGTTATATCGGGACCATCCTGTAGTAATAGAGACCTGAAAAAACGCATTTTATCACACCTTAGTTTTTATTATTATCTTTAAAATTGTTGTTATTACTTATTACCATTTCATTATGTAAATATTTTTGTGTGTCTGATGTTAAAAGAGCGTTTATATTCAAATAAAAAAATGTTGTTATAAATGTCTTGATAACAAACAAGCAAAAAATTACACATTATGTAGCAAGAAAATAAAAAAAATAATACATATCTGTCGGTTAATCATAATTTTAAAGACACCTATCCATCAATTATTATAAGAGCAAGAAATGCATAATTCACTAATCCTTTAAAACTTTCAGATCAATAAATCTAACTCAGATTTATCAAAAAGAATTACTTTTATCAAAAATTCTAATATAAAAGCGACTTGTAATGTTCGTAGTCATTAATTTAGTTTTTTGTTTGTAACAGTACTAAACTTGAGCTAAAATCATGTGTCTTGTAGTATTTTTTGTTGTAACGGCTTTAACTGCTTTTGGAATAACAAACGCAGGTAACAACAGATACAATTTTTGTTAACAATTATTTAGCATACTAAAATTATACGTAGATCCAGTTTGTCCAAAACAAGATGGAAAAGACGCTGTTTACATCCCACACGAAGATTGCACCAAATTCTGGGAATGTTCAAATGGTACTCCGTATCTCTTTAACTGTTCTGCCAATTTGCACTTTAATCCCAAACTGAATGTCTGCGATTGGCCAGAACAAGCAGGGTGTAAAGGAAGTGGTGAAGATAGTAGCAGTAGTAGTAGTAGCAGCAGCAGCAGCAGCGAAAGCCAAGAATCCGGTGATAACTCACAAGGAAAAGACGACGAAAATGACAGCGGCAACAGCAGCAGCAACAGTGAAGAAGGTATTGAATAATAATTATTAAATATAAATTATTATATGTATAGAATGGTCAAAAAGTCCTTTTATCACTACTTAAAGATGTATGTCGCATATATTACCAAGTTGTCTTTAAAAATTAAATTGCAAGTTGAATTATTCTGTAGAATCTCTCAAAACATTTTTAAATAATATATTTTTGGTATTTTCTTACACAAATCGTATATCACGAACTCATATCAGAACTGACCATAGAAAAGAGATTGAATTGATTAAAAAATTAATTTGTCATTTTCAGTTGTCACGAAAAGGTTTTATCTTGTGCAGATATACTTTCTAAGTTTCTATGCTCGCTTAATAGATAGATTTTTTGATCGGACTGTAGATGTAATGTTTTTTCTAATTTCTGTTATATATTGATAGGTCCCGAATGTCCTGCAGTAGATGGAAAAGATTCTGTCTACTTCCCACATGAAGACTGTACCAAATTCTGGCAATGTTCCAATGGTGTCCCCTATTTGTTTAATTGCTCTGCCAATTTGCACTTTAATCCCAAACTGAATGTCTGCGATTGGCCAGATCAAGCGGGTTGTGAAAGCAAAGAAGATAGTAGCAGTAGTAGTAGCAGCAGCAGCAGCGAGAGCAAAGAATCTGGGGAAAACTCTCAAGGAAAAGACGATAAGAGTGGTAACAGCAGTAGTGGCAGTAGCAGTAGCAGTGAAGAAGGTGATAGTTATTAAAGAATCCATTGATTCTTTTTGTAATTTTTCTTATTTATTAGGTCCCGAATGTCCCGCAGTAGATGGAAAAGATTCTGTTTACTTCCCACATGAAGACTGTACCAAATTCTGGCAATGTTCTAATGGTGTCCCCTATTTGTTTAATTGCTCTGCAAATTTGCACTTTAATCCCAAACTGAATGTCTGCGATTGGCCGGATCAAGCGGGTTGTGAAAGCAAAGAAGATAGTAGCAGCGGTAGTAGCAGCAGCAGCAGCAGCAGCGAAAGCAAAGAATCTGGGGAAAACTCTAAAGGAAAAGACGATGATAAAGATAAGAGTGGTAACAGCAGTAGTGGTAGTAGCAGTAGCAGTAGCAGTGAAGAAGGTGATAATTATTAACAAATGCATAGTGAGTTTTTGTAATATTTCTTACAAATTAGGTCCCGAATGTCCTGCAGTAGATGGAAAAGATTCTGTCTACTTCCCACATGAAGACTGTACCAAATTCTGGCAATGTTCTAATGGTGTCCCCTATTTGTTTAATTGCTCTGCAAATTTGCATTTCAATCCTAAATTAAATGTTTGCGATTGGCCGGATCAAGCAGGTTGTAAAAACAAAGAAGATAGTAGCAGCGGTAGTAGCAGCAGCAGCAGYGAGAGCAAAGAATCTGGAGAAAACTCTAAAGGAAAAGACGATGAAAAAGATCAGAGTGGTGACAGCAGTAGTGGCAGTAACAGCAGCAGCAGCAGCAGCAGCAGCGCAAGTAGTGAAGAAGGTAGCAGCTTTTAAAAAATATTTTGTATCTTTCTGTAATCCTAGTTCTTTATTAGGTCCTGAATGTCCCTCAGTAGACGGTGCGACTCCAGTTTATATACCACATGAAGACTGTACGAAATTCTGGCAATGTTCAAATGGCACTCCGTATCTTTTCGATTGTCCTGCCAATTTGCATTTTAACCCCAAACTGAATGTTTGCGATTGGCCAAATGACGCAGGATGCAAAGGAAAAAAATAAATTATGTATTGAAGTATGGGTTATTGAAAAAATAAAATAATACTACTTATGAATTTTATGTCCTTGTATTTTTTTAATTAAGAAACAAAAACATTATAACATTTTTTTAAGTATGTACCACGTTTTTAGATAAAGTGGAAACTAAACATTTACTAGTATGAGGAGATATAAATTTCAATTTGTATCGTCCCATGTATGTTTTTTCCCAAATAAATTTTGGTACTGTGACTGACAAACATGGTGTGCGATTTCAAAGGCCACCGCCWGCTTAATGAAATATATCAATATCCCGCCTGGGCATTTCGTAAAAAATGCATTGGAGCAGTGATTCCGAGTTTTTCTTAGTTACGGGAGTTACTAAGGAAAAACTGAATTATTTTTAATTATTAAAGAAAAATAACGCAATTAATAAAAGTTGGGAAGGAAGGATACAACAAAAGTTGCGTTTTCACCATACATCAATCAAGAAAACAGGTTGTTTATTGAAATTCTGAGTAAAATCAAGAAACGCTAATTGGAATTCAATGCAAGACATTAATTATAATAATTTCAAAATTAATTTTTTTTAATCCTATAGTAAATGTTTAAAATCCTGCCGATCCTCTACAGACAGACTTCCAGTCTACGTATAAAGGAAAGTTTTATTGCATTTTATCAGAGATGTCAATTATTCTCTCCTTCATAACATTTGGAGTGGTGGGTCTTGTTTGATATACCTTCTTTTTAACATACCCCCATAAAATGAAATGCGTTGTAGTCAAATCTGGAGATCGCGGTGGCCAAACAATAGGTCCTCCACTCCCAATCTATCGATTAGCTAATTTGTTATCGCACAATGCGATCAAAATGAACAGGAGCTCCATCATGCTGTAGCCACATAATATTCTCTAAAAAAACTAGCAATTACTCTTGAAGGAATCGACAATATTGTAAACCGTTTAGAGTCGTGAAAAAAGGAGCTAATAATTACATACTGTCTTATTATTCCTCTCCAAACCAATGATTGGATCATCTCAATAGAGATGATCGATGTTAATGGTCAATTGCCCTAATCCAGTGTGAATTTTCAGTATCATAATAATGAATGTTATGACGATTAATGGAACCATTACTAATAAAAGTAGCTTCATCACTAAATAACATTTTATCGTAAAAATTCCAATCTTTATTTATCCTCTCCCTGATAATTTCACAAAAGTACATTTTGCGTCCATAAAGTTCGTGGTGTAACTCAAAATGGTATGGATGGAATCAATGCTTTAAAATTACACGATTAATTCTGCTTTGCGCATAATCACTTTGTGCTGCTATTTAAAATTTTTCTAGGTTTAAAAAGATGTATAATAAAACTGGTAAGGTTATGATCTCCAAACCTTAGGTTTTTTAGAAACCTTATTAAAGCTCTACCCATTAAAGTAATAACATACAGGGTGATTTATTTGAAAAAATCAAGTTATTTGATATTTTGTGAATGTCAACACTCTGCAGTTGTTGCAAAAGATTGATCACATTTCAACCATAATAATTTAGGACCAGACTCAGTGAAAATGTTGCAATTGTTTTTATTCACTTTTTCTTTATATCAAATCCGTTGCGATATTTCAAAAATGTCATTTTTTTTTATAAAATTGCCCATAAATGATAAACGATCTATGACAGATCCATAAAACCTAATCTGGATTTTCTTAAAATTAAAAACGCTTTCAAATAAGCACATAATACACCGGATGCTCTATAAGAAAAAATATAATATTGTTGCGCCACCCTATATAGGAATGACCTATACCTACTGACGAAAACATTTTTGGATCATAGAAAAAATTAATGTCTATCGTCTAAAAGAAACCGCATCGTTATCTTTTTTATTGTCAGAGTAATCAAAGAAATATGGAGCTCTGGGACACTATGTAGTATACATTGTCCCCGGATTGACTTGACAGGAAAAGCAGCTTTAAGATAAAAAAAATCGTCAAAAAAATAAAACCACCAATTTACAGGAGTTATAAAGCAGACAAAAAATTATTAGTCCAAAATCAAAAGAAAAATGAACTTTTCTTCCTAAGGAATCAGAATAATGAAGTTTTAATTACAGATTTGCTGGTTTCAGATGAAGCAAAAGATGTTTTTCCTTTACAGTTTTGTTGTAAAATAAAAGTTAATTTTTTTTTCTCCTGTAAACTCAGTCCGGGGACACAATTAATAATTTTTGTAGTTATATCCATAAAAATAAGGATTTGGGCTTTTGGTTAAAAATAAAGAAACACTTTTTTCAGGATTTTTAAATATTCCACCTCCAAAGAGGTTAAACGGGATATGAAAATTTGTATAAAAATTCGTTAATTTTGAAGTTATGTCCAAGAAAATTAGTATATGGGCTTTCGGTTAAAGATGAAGCAAGTGACACTTGTTTTAGGATTATTGGAAATTCCACCCACAAAGTGTTGGAAAGAGGAAATGAAAGTTTACATAAAACTTCGTCATTGTTAAGTGATTTCCATGAAAATTGGTATTTGTAAAAAATATGTGTTTTAAGGTTTTTGAAAATTTTATACCTTCAAGGGGTTAATAGGGGATGGAAGTATGTTTGGAAGTCTGTCATGTTTTAATGAAATCCATCTACGTGTATATGTCGTAGTCATTGGGCGTAATGCGTCATTCCGCGGAAAGCCTAGTCTTTGGCCGTACTGCCGGCAGACGCTGTAATCAAATGAATATTCCTTTGTTTGACTGAAATTTTACGTCATTGCAGGGATTGCCTACTTAATTCTCGTCAAATAAAGTAACCGGTTGAACCATTACATGTTACAGCGTTTGACGGAAGTGTATTTAGTCATTTGCTGAAAGCTTGAAATTTTATTGTGTAGTATTTCGGGCCGTAACATTTAGTGATTGTTGGACTTTTCTTATTGAAAATGGATAATCCTAAGAGTTTGTTTTATGACAAATTAAATGAATATTATTTGAAAAAGAAAGATGTCAAAAAACCGTGGAATTATGAAGTAATGAAGGAGGTAAAAGACTTGTAACCTCACCTTTATTTCAGTTGTACATATTTTAGGCTGCAAAAGATATTTCTAAAGAATATATTTTTATTTTTGTATAATTTACCTGAAAGCAAAAAATACATTTTTAATTGTTGTTTAGGTCATGTACTTACCGTTTTTTGTATGATTTTATAATATTATATGTTTACATTATTCCAAAAAAACGAAACAAATATTTTGCTACAATAAAAATATTTTAGTTTTTTATCTTTTCTTTTCTTCTACCAAAAATTTACATTTCTACAGAAAGTATCAAACATTTCAAGACTTTTCAGCAAATGACTAAATACACTTTCGTCAAACGCTGTAACATGTAGTGGTTCAACCGGTTACTTTGTTTGACAAGAATTAAGTAGGCAATCCCTGAAATGACTTAAAATTTCAGTCAAACAAAGGAATGTTCATTTGATTACAGCGTCTGCCGGCAGTACGTCCAAAGACTAGGCTTTCCGCGAAATGACGCATTACGCCCAATGACTACGACATATACATATAAAACAGTTTTGTGACTGACTGACACACAATGCATTGCCTAAATCAATGCAGCTTGGTACTTCAAATTTGGGTGTTTCTTACGGGGGTGTAAAGGTCATCAATCTCTAAAGGGATGATATGGGTTGTAAACGTTTAATCAAAAAACAAAAAATTGGAAAACATATTCTTTCGAGGGTGTTGAGGGCCGCTAAAAAAGGATTTATAAGAATCAATCTTTAAGGGTTTGAAATGGTGTCTAAACGTTTAAACATGGATATAAACACAAAAATTGGAAGATAATTTCTTAGAGGGTACAGAAGTGCACTAAGAAGACGCTTTTCGAAAATCAATTTTTAACTGGGTGAAATGGGGTGTAAAGGTATGTAACGTATTTTCATTATCTTCTTAAAAATCGGCACCATTCTCTCGCGTTGGTTTAAGCTGGCGAATCAAAAATGTACAGACTCACTTTACTGTTTCACTTTATAATTAATACAATACGGAAATCTACGTGAAGATAAATATTTTTGAAAAATTCCACCTCAAAAAATTTGTAATTTGTTTGGAGTTTTTTTTGTGACATCAAATAACATTTCAACTGAAATCAAACAACGGGCTACACACCATCTGTTATCCATAAATCCATAAACAAAGCTCATGGGAAAAACGAGACTATAGCGCAAAGCGTCGGCATTTAACCCTGCAGAATAAGTCTATGGAATTGTTTTGTGAACGAATTATTTTCCATTTTACACCCGTGAAAAATGCTAGTATTTCTAATAAACATATTAAAAGGTGACGATCTGACGACAGTAAGATAAGATTGCGATGTTTGATTAATGCATTAATTAATCTTATTTTTTATAACGTACGAAAACTTTTGACGTAGGTACCTATTTGCTTTTTATATTGTTTAATTTTCTTGTGACAGATTTATTTGTGATTAAGATTTTGGCTAGTAGGATCAAAGGATTATAAATCAATGCAATAAGAATAATCCACAGATAAGAGTTTAAGTTACAATATTTTTAAAAAACGTAATTAGGTTAGTGTTGTATTTTTACACCTCAATTTTTTTTAGCTTTCTTTAAGAAATCATTACTTATTAGTGAAAGCAAACTTTAAAAATAATTTTTACTAACATCTAACCAGATACATAATTACATTTTCTACAGTACTTTTTTATACAGGGTGATTCTTAAGTAGACCGACAAAATTTTATTCTTGATAGTATCAAATAAGAACATGCTGGAAAAAATATTTAAAAAATTCTTTGTTTAAACGTTCTTCAAATAAAATTTATTAAAGTTATTTTCGAAGCAAAGCGTTCGCTACTGATGTGTTAGCACAGGTAGTGGAAACCATGGTATTAACCACATAATACATGGTATTATTATATACCAGGTGAATAAAAAGTATGGAACCAAACGTTTTTTGTTTAAACTATTTATTTTTTGAAAAAACTAATTGATGAGTGATAAAGTACTATAAAAATGTGATGATTTAACAAGAATAAAATTTTTCGAAATTTCCTTTTGTTTTTGAGTTCTACAAAAAAAATATTTTTTTAAATAGCAACCCACTATAAAATCATTTTTCTCATAAAAGCTATACTCTAAGGATTACAACTATCTGCTTTATTTTTAATTTTTTCAAAAAATTTTTTTCACATAAATTGCAATTTTGACAAAAAAAATCGCATAACTCAAAAACAAAACAAAATTTCGTTCTGAAAATACGATCACATTTTTATATAACTTTAATTTATTAATTATTATTTTCTGGAGGCAAATGATTAAAAATAAAACCGCTTGATTCCATACTTTATATTCACTCTGTATTAACGTAGTTGATCATTTCAACAATTTATTAACGCCGTAAGTGGCACGGATGAAGGGGGTTTTGCCCCTAAAAGTTATAAACGTAAAAAAGGTACAGTTTGTTTCCATTTATCCTTAGGAAGCTGTGATAAAAGTTTGTCGGTCTATTTAAGAATCAGCCTGTTATACCAGGTGAATAAAATGAATGGAACCAAGCATTTTTTTCGTAAACTAAGCACTTTACGAAAAAAATAATTAGTGTAGCGTAAAGTACAATTAAAATGTGACCATTTATCAAGAATAACATTTTTCGAAATTTCTTTTAGTTTTYGCGTTCTGGAATTTTTTTTTTAAATGGCAACCCACTATGGTAATTTTTTTTAATTAATGATTATGATCTAAAAATGACCTCTAATTAAACAGAATTGTTTTTTAGTCAGTACTTTTTTTAAATAAATTGTTAAAGTTGCGTACCGAGGAGCCCATCACGAAGATTTTCCGAACAGAGTTTCCTGTCAATTTAGTATAAAAATTATTTTGACATTTCTAAGTTGTTAATAATATTTTTATCTCCGCAAACAAACGCTTTGAATGTCAACGCTTTCTTGACTGTTTAGGTCGTTTAGTAAGACATATAAAAATAAGAAACATTTAATGGCGCTTTCAATTATCATTAATTTTGTTATCAACAAAGTACTTGATCAAAACTATAAATCACAAGTTTAATAGATAATGTAGTTAGTCAGAGATTTAAAGAGATTTAAAACCTCCCCCAGAACCAAATTAGGCAAAATTAGTAGTAAAACTATTAAAACTAAATTTTTTTTGGAAACAACCAATGTAAACATTTGAATTTTGTGTACAATTTTTCTTCATGCTTTTATAACTGCAGAATATACGTGTTATTTTACATAAACTTTTGTTATAATGTCAATATTATAATGTCAATATTATACAGGGTGCGCCTGAACTCGCGCCCCAGAGAAAAATGCCATATAAGGTAAGATACCAGGAACATGGAAAAAAATTTCGAAGTTTTGCACTTTGACTCTATTTATTTCTGTTGGAAAAATGATTTTCCAAGTTTTTTTGCTATAGGCTATTAAAAGAAGAAACAAGGAAGCTGTATCCTAAATCCTAAATTCAATGTTATTTTTGGTTTTTATTGGTAAAATTTTTGTACTTTTACTAAATAATTGTAAAAAAACATGTACAAGATCATCAGTATCATTAAGTAGACATAAAAAATGTCAAATGTCAAAAAATAAATGTCAAAATTTTTTGACAGAATTTTTTAAATATTTTTTTTATATTCCTGGTATCTTAGCTTACTTAAAAAATTTCTCTGGGGCGCGAGTTCTGGCGCACCCTGTAATTAAAAAATAGTAATAATAAAGTACTGTTTGATTATTAAATTTAACAGATCAATATTGTTATGAATACAATTTTGTTTTTTCATGGCGGTCTATGTTACAAACAGAATTCGTCGCCTTTGGGAAATAAACATAAAAGAAAATATGAGAAATCAAAGTTGGTCGTGAATTTTGATGTTATATAGATTTTGACTTCAATCAAGTTTTCTAAATAACTTTTTGACGTATCTATTACTTATTAAAGTAACTACCTTAGAAATAAATAATTTTAGTTAGCCGATGATTTTGAAAAATTTGTGGAAGGGGCCTAGATTTTGATTCTAAACAACATATCTCATAAAATTTTTGTCGGATTTGAGACATAATACACTACAAAAAAATAGGTTTTTCTGAAAATTTTTAAGACATACTCGTATTTGATTTTTTAAAACTAAAATTATGTTAGAAATTAGTCTTTAACCAAGCAGGGCTGAAGGCCAAAAAAAAATTTAAATCAAGAATTTTTTATCTTTACAAGAGAGGTATACATACACAGAGTCGCGTCCCAGAAAAAATGCCAAGTAAGGTAAGATACCAGGAACATGGAAAAAAATGTTAAAAAATTCTATATTCAGGGTGACTTAAAAGTCAAATCTGTACAGATCTGATCGGCAATTATCTAATTCAATAACAAAGAGATTTGATCGGCAGATTATCCGCCCCATACACGAGCGGATTATCCGTCGGATCAAATCTGTACAGATTTTCAGGTAAGGTAAGATACCAGGAACATGAAAAAAATGTTTAAAAAACTCTACCTGTCAAAACATTTTGACATTTGACATTTTTTTACAAATTATACAGCATTAATGTCTATTTATTGATACTGATGATCTTGTATATGTGTTTTTACAATTATTTAGTAAAGGGACAAAAATTTTGAAAATAAGAACCACAAATAATATTAAACAGAGTTACAATTTAGGATACAGCTTATTTGTTTCCTCTTTTAATAGCCTATAGCAAAAAAACTTGGAAAATTATTTTTCCAACAGAAATAAATCAAAGTGCAAACTTTAAACCCTCATAACTTAGAGATTTTTATAGATAAAATTTTTTCCATGTTTYTGGTATCTTACCTTATATGGCGTTTTTCTATGGAGCGCAAGTTCTGGCACACCCTGTATATCAATGTCAAATAACTTGTTTTGTTTTTTAAGCATTCTCACTTAAGGCTCCAGAACAACTCAAACAAAGAACTATTTGAAAAATCAGAATATGCAACTGCATTTGTTATTTGCCCAACTGTTTTACAGAAATACGAAGCACAATTTGAATGATCACCAAAAATATGTGCGGGTCCATTTAAAATATCATTTTTCAAGTTTTCTGTTTTTTGATGAATTGTACAGCTTTCGTTTTTTCTGTATTTTATAGCTGAAACAATTGCTGTTCTAAATTTCAAGTAATTGTTGCGCAAGAATGTTTTTATATTTATGTCGGATCGGTGATTTCTCTAATTTTGGTACAAAAATTTCGTAATATATGATTTCGGCATTTAATTTTTTAAATGAAATAATTAGGTTCATAGGGTCTCGCATTACGAATTTTTTTGTGGACACTGCTATCACCATCTCCTATAAGGTTTTTAAATCTTACATTATGCATGTCTATTGATTTTTTAAATCCATCTAAAATAATTGCAGCTTCCATCGAAGTCGAAGTACTTTTCCAATTTTGAAAACATTTATGACGAGGGGCCGTTTGTTTTTTTTTTTCTTGTAATACATACATTTTTTACAATTTTTATTTTTGACTCCTACGTATAAAATTTTTTTACTTCTAGCACCGACTATTGTTGCAACACCAGATGATGCGTTGTAATTTGATTTATACGAACGTTTAGACCAAGCACCGTCTACGACAACCGTAATGTAAGGTACTCCATCTTCATCAATTTCACCGGCTTCAATTGCCAATGCACGCTCTTCTTGACCGGCTGCTAACATTTCGTCCAAAGCAASGTTTTCCGCAATATCTAAAATTTTTCTTTCTGTTTTAATATATGTTTTTTTATTAAGTTGTGGAATGTTCAAAGCTGCGCAAAATTCTGTTAGTTGAGAATAACCAGCACCTATTGTTACTGTGCCACAAACAGCTGCTTCATTTACTTCATTTGTGYGATTTTCTTTTTCGGTACTAAAAGTTCCTATTGCCCCACACATACTACATTTGTATTTAAAAACACTTTTAAGCCCCAAATGTGTTTCTTGAATGATGTTAATGTTCAAAAAACTACAAGACAAAATGTCATGTTTTATGTTTTTTAATTCCAAAAATAAATGCCCTATGTCAACAATCCTTCGACCACTTGGAACAAAATTTTGTTCTTGACTAGTTTCTTTCTCAATAATAAACACTTCATCGTCATCGGAACTCGATTCAATTGACTGAAAACTACATTCTGCAAGACTTGATTTACTTGGAAGATCAGTTTTAGATCCTTTTCGTTGTTTTTTCCAATAATTACGCATTATTTGTTTTCGACTTTTTCTTTTTTTTGAAAGAAATTGTTTAGAATTATTACCCATAATTTCAATACAACGTTTTCAACAACAAGTGATAAGAAATTAGGAATTACACTTACCAAGGAGAGGTCACAATAACACTAATTTAGTATGTAATTAAATAGATACCCAATAAAATAACTTATAAATTAAAAAAGCACAAATATCACTGTTCAAAAAGTATCACTTATTTCAAAGCATTGCGGTGGAAGAGAGCCACTAGCAAACTGCAAAGAATCAAAAAGTAAACAAGTTATAAAATTGTTGTAAACCTCAATCAACATTCTTGTTGTGAAATTTTAAATTCCAGTTTCAGGTACTTGATCTTTATTAGTATACAGTATGTTCCCGGATTGACTTTACAAAAGAAAAAAAATAATTTATCTTTGATTTTACGCCAAAAAAAAGTCAATTTTTCTCTTGATTTTGGATTTYGCTCGTTTCAGGTGAACAAAATGTTTCTCCTTTGCAGTTTTGGCGTAAAATAAAAGATATTTTTTTTTAATTTACTAATTAAATAATGATAGTTTTTGTTAAAAATGACTTTTTTTTATCTAAAAGTTGTTTCTTTGAGTTGCTATTTATCAAAATTATGTTTTTCCCACACATTTTTTTATTTAAGTTGCAAAAACTCATTTTTCAAAGTGACATTATTGTCAAAAAATTAAAACCGCCAATGTAATGGGATTTAAAAAGCAGAGAAAAATTATTCTAAGTCCAAAATCAAGAGAAAAATGGACTTTTCTTTCTACTGAGCTAGAATCTGAATCTCTGAAATAAGAGAAACTCATCGATGGTAAAATTCTGTTTGTTTACATTATTTCCATTTTATGACTAAAGGAACAAGGCACCAGGTAGAGAAGGTCGGATGATTGACAGCTGCCACAAAATGCCGAGTATGCAACTAACAGTACACCAAATTTGAACAGTTCATTCGGTACCCTAGAGCCTTAAAATTCTAATTCTAATATGTATGTACTCGTATAATCAGTCAGAGACAGTTAATTTTTTATCAAACCATTCATTCCAGCTCCTAATTGAGAAACTAATAAATAGGCTACCTTTGCACAGTCAACATACTGCGGTCATTAAAACCCTCATTGGGGAGGTTCGACTTTAAATAATAACCAAAAAGACATGTTTTTATTAAACAAGTGAAAATTAATTTTGCCGAATTTAATTGTTTAATCGAACACAATGTTGTCAATTAGGGCACCAAAATTTATTTGGAAAAAAACATACATGGGACGATAAAAATTGAATTATACAGGGTGTCGCAAAATTGGCGCACTTTCTTGAAAAGGAGTAATTAAGTAGTCCCCCAGAGTACTGAACAAATGTTAAAAAAATTCTGTCAAAAAATTTTGACATATATTCTTTTTACGTTAGACATATTTTTATGTTTATTGAATGATACTGATAATCTTGTATATGTTTTTTTGTAAAAGTTAAAAAAAAATTGCCAATAAAAGCCTCATATAATAACACTAAACAGAGTTAGTATTTAAGGTACAGCTTCCTTGTTTCTTCTTCTAATAGTCTGTATCAAAAAAACTCGGAAAATTATTTTCCAACAGAAATAAATAGAGTCAAACTTCGAAAATTTTATAGATAGTTTTTTTTAACAATTGTCTTTTTGTCTACAGCATCGCTCGATGATACCGTGTCACAGAGATGTGCGATTTTCCAGACATCCTGTATATCTTCACATACTAGTAAATCTTTTGTTTCCACTTTCTTTAAAAACGAGGAACTGAGCGAAGTACTTAATGTGTTTCAAAATTGACTAATGTTTTCATTAAAAAGGAATTATAAAATTTTTGTTTGTTCATTTAAAAAAAACAAGACATAAAATTCAGTAGTATTTATTTTTCCAATAATGGATACTTCAATACATAATTTATTTTTTTCCTTTGCATCCTGCGTCATTTGGCCAATCGCAAACATTCAGTTTGGGGTTAAAATGCAAATTGGCAGGACAATCGAAAAGATACGGAGTGCCATTTGAACATTGCCAGAATTTCGTACAGTCTTCATGTGGTATATAAACTGGAGTCGCACCGTCTACTGAGGGACATTCAGGACCTAATAAAGAACTAGGATTACAGAAAGATACAAAATATTTTTTAAAAGCTGCTACCTTCTTCACTACTTGCGCTGCTGCTGCTGCTGCTGCTGCTGTTACTGCCACTACTGCTGTCACCACTCTGATCTTTTTCATCGTCTTTTCCTTTAGAGTTTTCTCCAGATTCTTTGCTCTCGC